GTTCCTGATCTCAACGTGATCACAGCCTATAGCACCTACACCGTCGCATCTGCCTCGCCTGGTCCAACCGACACATGGTCGTTCAACAACCAAGGACCAACTCCTGTTCTCACCAGTGCATACAACTCTGCTAACTGTTCATGGTATTATCCTCCACCGGCAGCAAGCACGTCTCAGCCGACGTCTCAGCCGACAGGCACAGCCCCCGCTGGGACTGGTGATGCTACGCAAACGACGGATGCCGAAACAACTTCCACCGGTACCACAATAAGTCCATCTCTCACTGCTTCACCGACGACGACAAACGGCCCGTCCTCAACGACGAATACCGCCGCAACATCGCCGCCAATCGACTCCATCCAGACGGGGTCAACGACAATCATTACACCAAGCTCTACCCCAACGGATACGAACACGGTACCGTCAACATTGGTGACATCCCATACCTCAGCCAATCCTACGACGAGTGTGCCTTCGTCGACATCAGACACCGCGACGAGCGCCGCTGCAACCACCCTGGCAGCAGGACTATCTTACACAAGGATATCCTGCTTTGAAGATCAAAAGCTCTGGGTAAATGAAACATTGGTGGTCGAAATTGCAATTGAATTTTAAAATATTGATGGTCGAAATTGCAATTGAATTTTGTCAGCAGATTTCAGAGGGTAAAATTAAGCCGGAAAATGAAATATGGCAGTCGCCCAGCAATAAGTACGAAGATAAAACCAATGGGGTTGGCTACGAAATCAGTGTTAGGAACGCCAAAAATGGCTCTCCTGCGGGGAGCACAGTGCCGAATCTTCCAAACTTTCTAGACGTATGCAAACTGGAGCTCTATCTTGCCTGGAAAAATTGTAAGTAACTGCACCACACAGCGACTGTCTCTGGGCTGGTATGTTTTAACAATGAGATTTAGGTCTTGGAAACGGCCGTTGGGGCGGCGCGGTCAATTACCAGGGCTTCGACTGGACGATGCAACCTAAACTGCTGGGGGGATAATGTGCTTCCTCGCCGACGAGTACGGACAGCGTTACGGACCTGGCGGGTGGACACAACTGGAGGCTGCAGGACGTTACGTGATCGATACAGCTGTAGTGCGGTTCACGTCGCCGTTTTTTGCGTGCTCAAATATGGGAGAGAAAAAGTTGCGTTAGTTACGATGTTTTAAAGTACACAGGTAGACTATTAACATGTTGTTGCACGTGGCTCATAAAAGATCATGCAGTATTTGCGACACACCATGACCACATGCGCGGTGCGACTGAGGACAGAAGGACATTTGGAAGGGACTGGATGCCACAAAAGCCAAGACGAACAGGCGAGGGATGGAATCATCATTGCTCACGCTTTTCTCAAGAGCTGGTTCGCACGAGGCGTCAGCCTGCACTGCGAACGGCATGTTTGGTTGACAAAGGCCGACTCGCGCGGTACACGATGAGCCCACGATGGGAATGGCCTGGGTATTCCTGCACCTGTAGGTGTCCAGCAGTGACATGAGTCCGACGTGCGCACTGGGAGCGTAGGGGCCACTTCGGGGCTTGAAGGGTGACCATCAGCGAGCGACATCACACGGACTATCCGCGAGCAAAGGCGTCCCCCC